ATAGTTGATATATACATATATATATATATATGTATATATCAACTATGTGTACAATCGCATGGTTAAAAATGGCAAATTTGTTATATGCCTTAAATACTGACCATGTGTATGTATGGACGTAAATAAATGTTCAAAAAAACCTTTTATAAAAAAAATTTCTAGTCTGATCTATTATACATCCATTAAATTATATCATTTTAATCCTAATTTTTGTATTATACCCAAACTGAAAAGATCATTCTTCAGCTTATAAAATACAATATTAAAATTATTATTTAAATATAATTATTGATTGGAAATAGTGTAATTCGTTAATTAAAATCAATTAGAATTTTATTTGAGTATTGTCAATTGATTTGGATTAATCTAAATATTATATTTGAAAGCTTTAACATGATCTTTTTAATATCATAGCGTTCTAATTCAAATCTAGAGCAACTACTAATCCTAAAAAGCATCAAACATTACAGGTGTAAATGTACTACTAATACTTTGTTTATTACAAATTTTATTTCAATAGATTTTCCCACGATATGTCAAAAATTTGGATCCTTCCAATCTATGAATCTTTTTTGATGTTTAACATAAAAATCTAACAGAAGTTTAATAAATTAAAACAACTTGTAAAATCTAGTCAAATATTTGCGTTTTAATATGAAATCGAAAAAAGAAACCCTAACTATTTATTTCCGTTCATATAATTGTTGTTGTTGATGTTGTTGCATTTATAAACTACAGAAGAATAACAAAAAATGGATGTAGGAAAATAAAGATGAGCTTTTTGAAAGTTCTTCGTCAATATTTGATAGACCAAATCCAATAAAGTTTCACAGAAAGATAGAACGCTAACGGTAGAAACACTTTCTTTTTCTTTCTTCTTAACAAAAATGTTTAAGAATCAACAACCGAAAAATTCTGTTTATTATTTTTTTATTTTACTGTACTATTCAGATCATAAAAGTGAAAAAAAAGATCTAACATCTGGAATCACAAAAGTAAAATCCTTTAGAATCTTAGTATTTATTTTAGGATTTTAATAGATATATATTCCTTGAAAGAAGTTCAACAAAGTATTCTATTTGTATTTTTCTACCTTAACCCTTTCTCAAACTATTTTTTTTTCCCATTCTCTTTTATTCGAATAAAAAAAAAAAAACAAAAATGAAGGAAGAATCCATCCGATATTTGTCTAAAAACATTATTCACCGACTTTCTAATTAAATTACAAATCCAACATTAACTCATTTAGATTAAATTATTAATTAATAAATAAAAAGAAACAAAAAAATATATAAAAACAATCTACTCATTGAATATAATCTAATAGTATCAATATACATATAATACACGTTAGCAGATTACAAAACAAAATTCATTTGCTGTTGATTCTTAACCCATTGGTCATCTTTCTATTTCTCTTTCTCTTGGTGATGTTTTATCTATCCATCGACCATCAAGCAACCATCCCAACCATCGAAATAACGTGGTGGCAACGGTAACGTGAACCTTTTTCCTTCCTAACCGTTGCTGTTTCTTTATCCCTGTGTGTCTTTCGTTCATTCTTGCAGTCATTTATTGGGGAGACCCTTAAAAGGAACACTTAAACTCACACTCCTGTTTGAGAAGTAGTCGCGCGTTTCTTGCTTAACGTGTGCGCGCGCTCATGCGAATGACAGAGAGAGAGAAAGAGAGAGAAAGAGAGAGAGAAAGAGAGAGAGAAAGAGAGAGAGAGAGAAAGAGAGCATACGACGCACCATTATCTTATTTACGCCTCATTGTCTCAATGTATCATACCAATATCGTGAGCGTTCCTTCAACACGAGAAACAACACGCTCTTGTATTGTCTGATATTTTCTATCTCTCTCTCAACATGAATTTCTATCCCTATTTCTATCTCGTTCTTTCTTTCTTTCATCTTTTATCATGATACACCCCCGCAACTAAGAAGAAGAAGAAGAAGAAGAAGAATTACGCATACACACGCTTATCCAACGTTAAGTTAAGTGTTATTCGCGTTAGTATTAAACAGTTACGTGCCCCGTAAGAATAAGCCTAAACGAAATGATGAAACACTTTTTAACTTCTCATTCTTATTATATCTTCTATATATTTCATTTTATTATTAACCGAAAATTATTTTTTTTCTAACTGATATTTTTATTAATAATATTCATATTGTGTTCTGGAAAATATTTCCATCAGAATTCTAATTCTGTAAATAAAATTACAATAGTACACACCATGAATTATACAGTAATACAGATCATCGAACATTATCATTCTAATCGACAGCATATTAGAGAACCTAAACATCATCAAAGTTCATAAATTGAAATCAACGATTGGGTGAGCTGGGGGGCTAAGGGGGCTGGGGGGGATTAGGTGCATATATATATTTATTGATGTGAGAAAATGATTTAATGAAGATACATAGTAGTAGATGATGCACATAGCTGCTACTGTTGGATATCTGCATAGTCTAAATCATCAACAGCATCAAACAATCGACAGTCCAAATGAATGTCGCATAGCATCACGTATATAGCCGAGCAAATGTGGGGGGACCAGTAAACACTCTCTCTCTTGCTGCTTGATCAATTGCTCCAAGTACCAGAGAGAGGAGTGTTCGCGGCCTATAACTTATGTTACAGAGATTCCTAACAACATTTTCTTACTTCTCAAACCTTCATTCGATATAAATTCTATTTATATTTCTAATTATTTTCATGTCATCACATCACCTTTCTTGTTTTATTATACAAAATTTTATTAGTATTTCAAATTTATTTAAATTTACGTTCACCAATCACCACCTATTAATAAATTATCCATTATTCCTATTGTATTAGCATTGGTATCCTGCAATTTTATTGATTGGGTGTTAAATTTAAGTACAACAATTAACGTTGGTTCAGTTGATTTGTGTTTGCAACCATTACCTATTTTTCAAAACTAGTCGAGTGATTAATAATTTATTAAAACAAATATAACAATATATTCTCGAATAATCTGTCTGACTTAGAAATAAAAAATAAAAAAACATTGTTCATTTTTCCCGACGGACGATAAACGGGCGCCAGGGATAACGAATCCGGAAAAGGGATTAATTCAGTTACAAATGGGACTGATGTAACTTCGCGAGGATTACACGTGTAAAAAGTGTAAAGTTCGTAAATGTTCCTCTCTCTCTCTCTCTCTATCTCTCTCTCTCTCTCTCTCTCTCTCTAGGCATTTTAGTAAGTAGCCAGTAACTCGCTGAATTACTTTGCGCTATTACATTATTGTCGATGTCGTCAGCGTTATTCGCAGAGTTGCTTCACGGGACTAGGGTCGACGAAGCCGAGGTCTTTTAGAACCCTCTTCGAAACGTGACCGCTTTATCTTTCATTTGAATGCGCCTACGATCGATGTGAGACGTGCGTTTCTTCGACTCGCTCCAAATTTTATTCGATAATTCTCTCCCCTGTCCCCCATAGTCCTCCACAGCTCCCCACAGGCCCCTACAGGACCCCCAACGCAACGCAACACGATCAGAAATCTTATGTATTTGAAATAATTGTTTTCGCGAAATAATCCAACGTCGTTGATTCATTCGATCAGAAGTGATTTCTCTTAAACGATTATAAGACTTATTGGCTTGTTTGAGAATGACTTATTCTTCGGAACTATTATTCGGATTGTGTTTGTAAAATTTATTTTTGCCAATTTTCAAATAATTCTATTTCAATTGATTTGAAAAAATAATGAAAAGTATAGTCGAAATTAATCTGTATAAATTCAACAATTATAAGGGAAGAATAATTCAACTTGTATAATAAATGTATCGAAAATATATATATATATATATATAATAAAAAATAATAAAGATTTAAAAAGTTGCATCGTTTCTATTTTCTAGTCGTTCTGTTTACAGAAACGACGAGGGGTTGGTTGCTGAACGGCCACCTATGATGAAAGAATCACACAAACGTTAGTAAAGAGAATATGTTCCTACACCTATACGTATAGAAAATCTATACATTTGCAGAGAAGTAAATTTGTGCTCGCGTGTGCGTGTGTGTGTGTGTGTGTATGCGTGTTCGCGTCAATAGATTTGGGTGTGCGGTGCGTTACATTATTTTCATTCGTGCGCTTATCGAAGGGTAGAAAGTTTACGGGTTCGGTTTGGTCCACGAAGCTGCTGTTCGTAGGGCTGGCTGGCTGGCTGCCCGAGGGTGGTTGGAGGCTTTAGAAAAAAGGGAAGGGGAAGAGGAAAGAAACACATCAGGGCTGGTTTCAGTTCTACGATTCAAAGGGAAAGATATAGTGCGAGAGGAAGAGGGGTGGTCTGGAAATAAGAGGTAGGGGTAGGGCCCTTCTTCTTTCCTATAAACCAGACCAGATTTCTAGCCTATGGGGTTGCATCCGACAACCCAATGGTGGTCGATTTTGCGGTCGTACTACACTTACGCGTTTCGTTTATATTCTTTTTCCAACAGTATGCCACATCTTATTCTAAACTTAACGTGTTTCTATTTTTTTATATTGGAAATTGTTCATTAAAAATTTACTCTTAAGAATTA